CCAGCTACTCAGGAGGCTGAGGCAGGGTAATCACTTGAAACCAAGAGGCAGAGGTTGCAGTAAGCGGAGATTGTGCCACTGCACTCCAGCCTGGTGACAGAGCAATACTCCATCTAATATATATATATATATTCTTTTGGGGGGGGGGAGGCCATGTTGCTCAGGCTGGTCTCGAACTCCTGGCCTCAAGCACTCCTCCTGCCATAGCCTCCCAAAGTGCAGGGATTACGGGCATGAGCCCCTGAGCCCAGCTCCAGAAGACAGGTCTAACCCTCACCTCCCCAAAGTCCTGTGTGCCCTGACTCCCATTGTTCTGGAACATTCTCTGCCCTTTCACACCTCAGGCTTCTGCTAGTGCTGGTTCCTTCCAATCCAGTGGCCCTACCTAACCAGGCATGGGGGCTATGCCCCTTATGCTCCTAGTCCTGCTGCTAACGGCAGTGTCCGGTTTCTGGGAGAGCTGCAGATGAGCAGGTGGGGAGGCTGTGAGGGTGGGTGTCCCAAGCCCAGTGGAGGATCACAGAGCCACTCAGTGTCGCTGACCACCAGGGAGGGGTGGGGCAGTGTGTCATTGATGTGAGGCTCCTTAAGCATCAGTCTGTGAAGGGCCACCAGTGCCCCACGCCCCTCAGGGAAGCGAGGACAGCCCCACCCGCTACCAGGCCTCACTAAGGAAACTCAGGGTCCTCGTCAGTGGGGCTGGGTTGGGGGAATGCACAAGATGGGGCCTCGGGAGGAAGCTCTGCAAGAGACACGTGCTTTCTTTGCACGAGCACTGGCTTGCTTGGGGGAGAGCAGGCCAGCCCGGAGCGGCCCTTCCCCACTCCATCTCCTTGGTCCTGTGCCTTTTCTGCCCTGGTATCTGGTCTGGGGTGTGCACCCCACTTCTGCCACCCATTTTGCACCTGCACGGGCAGGCTGGCTCCCTAGTTCCCAACAGGCCAAGCAGCCAGGTCCCTGGCCCGGCTCCCCACCCACCTCAGGGCCTCCTCAGTCCCCCACACTCCTGGACCTCAGGTGGTGCCTCCAGAGCAAGCTCTGTCTGCACAGGGCTCTGCTGGGGTGCCTGGCTCTTTGGAGAGGCTGAGGCTGATCTAATGGGCCCTGGGCAGCAGCTGGCACAGAGGCCATCCTGGTTGGGACTCACCTCCAGGAGAAGCGTGTCTGGCAGGTACCGGTCCTTCCAGTGGTCGAGGAAGACCATGTCCAGCGTGTCCACATCATACTTCTTCTTCAGCTGGGGGATGATGTCCTGCGACGCCCCAACCACAACGGTGACCTGGAACAGTGCCTGTCAGTGCCCACGCCCACACAGACAGGAGGCTGTCCCTGCACACCCATACAACAGCGCCTGTCAGTGCCCACGCCCACACAGACAGGAGGCCGTCCCTGCACACCCATACAACAGCGTCTGTCAGTGCCCACGCCCACACAGGACGCCACCCCTACACACCCATACAACAGCGCCTGTCAGTGCCCACACAGACAGGAGGCCACCCCTACACACCCATACAACAGCGCCTGTCAGTGCCCACACCCACACAGGAAGCCGCCCCTACACACCGATACAACAGCGCCTGTCAGTGCCCACGCCCACACAGACAGGAGGCCGTCCCTACACACCCATACAAGCATTCATCAGTTTTCTGTAGGGTTCTGGGGTGACATGGCCCCCCTATGTCCCTGCCCCTCCTCGTGCCACCTTGGCCGTTTCCCCAGAGCTGTGAGACCACCCTCACCGAGCTGCTGGGGGGTCCTTCCTCAGCCCCAGGCTGGGAGGCACTGAGGGGCCTGGTGACAGTAGGTTTTCAATGAACGTGGTGTGAACCAGGCCCTCCCCGCCCGCAGCCCTGGCCCTTCTTCCAGGTCTGACAGCGGGTCGGGCATGCGCACCTTGTCCTGCACGCCAGCGAAATCCACCATCCGCTGGGTGATGGCGGCGCAGTCAGGGTTGATCTCGATGGTGAGCAGCCTCGCACCCGGTGACAGCAGGCGGGCCATGCGCACAGCTGAGTAGCCACAGTAGGCCCCCAGCTCCAGCAGCATGGAGGGCTGGTGCTCCTGAATCACGGCATCCACGATCTTGCCTGTGCAGGGTGGGGGACATGGAAGAGGTGAGCACAGGCGGAGGGAGGGGAACTTCGATCCCTAGGCACGGCCCCCTACCTCTCCCAAACAGCAACAGCCCCTCCCAAATGTCTGGCCTCTGGCCCTCCTCTGCCCGCCCTCCCTACCTGCTGGAGGGGTCTTTTACCTCCCTGGTGTCCCCAGCTCCAAGGACCTGGTCCCCACTGTGAGCACCCTTGGAGCTCCCATGGTCCCTTAGCCTCTATGCCCACGCTGGTCCCTATCTGTTCCACTCTTCCTGGCTGGCCCCAGCGTGTCCTAACACAGAGCTGCCCTCTCTGAAACCCCGAACCACCCGCCCCGCTTGGCACCCCAGGGCAGCACTAGTTGCCTGAGTAACTCCCTGAGTCCGGCAGCACATCCTGTGCCCCAGGCTGGAGTCCAGGCGGGGGCGGGCCCAGGAGAACCTGTCTGACTGGTCCCCAGGCAGGTCCCATGGTGGCCAGGGCAGAATTCAAGGGGAACTGCACCACCGTCAGACCCTGTGTGGGGGCCTGTTGTCCTGGGGCGCAGGCAGCAGGGCCTGGAGGAATCATCAGGGACCCTGGCACCCTGGGACTCCAGAGGAACCCCCCAGCCCTATCTGGGCATATCCCAGGGTTCCCAGCCCCCTGGAAACGGGGTGATAACAGCTTCTCCGGTAAGGGCTTTGATGCCTGGTCCTGGGTCCCTGTCCCAGACCTCAGCACCTGCCGGCCGGGACCCCACCTTTCTTGTCACCCACGTTCATGGCCCACTCCTTCTGCTGGCAGTAGGTGTCGATGGCCTCCAGCACGCTCTGTGCGTTCCCAGGCTCCGCATGTTGCAGCACGTGGTGCAGGATGCGCTGCTCCTTGGTGTCACCCATGAGCAGGTTGCGGATGGGCTGCAGGACGAACTCGTTCCAGCAGATAAGGCACAGGCCCCAGCCCCAGCGCCTCACAATCAACAGCAGCACCACCAGCACCAGGCCCAGGAACACAGCGGCCAGCAGCAGCAGAGGCGGGGCCTCCAGCATCTGCAGGGCGGGAGGGGAGGGGCGCCAGTGCTCTGTGCTCTTCCTGCTGCACCCACATGCCCCTCAGCTTGGAGTGCCACCATTGCCCCCTTGTGTTCACAGAGGGGCAAGGTTCAGAGAAGCCAGCCATGTCCTCAGTTGCCTGACGTGTCAGCGCCAGGGAGCCAGCCTTCTCGTGCCCTCGGGTGCCCTCGGGCGGACAGAGCAGGTGTGTGCCTCTGGCAGTCCTGTGTGGAGCCTGCAGGTCACACTCCCTGGCCCTGGGCGCTTCCCCAGGCAGCCCAGGGATCCTCTAAAACCACACAGAATACAGAAGCAGATGTGGACCCAGGCTGCTGTCTCCCAGCTGGCTTAGAGGACACCCAGGGGCAGGGAAGCCCCATGGCCCGGAGTGGGGGGTAGTGAGGGGTTGCCCAAAGAGAGGCTGTGTGGTGCAGCCCCTCAGCCTCATGTGGTGAACCCATGCTGGTCACCCATGCTCTGGACGCCCCAGGGATTCGTGTGTCCCTTTCATTGAGTGTCCAAATAAGGACACTGGCAGTCCCCAGGCCAGGAACACCAGGACAGACCCACTCACCACTCCCCTTGCGGACGGCAACATGTGGCATGTCCCAGATGAGAAAGGCCAGCCCTGCTGCCCACCACAGTGTACCTCGTGGGGCACAGTGAAATAGCAAGTGACCCCACTTGAAACCTGTTTGAAATCCTCCTGGTGTGACCCTCCAGGCAGGTAGCCTGGGAACCAGACAGACAGAAGCCTGGTGAGGGAACCCAGCAGGCAGAGAGCAGAGCACAGGAGGCCTGAATCAGAAGCCCAGGGGTTCAGGTCACAGACCCTAAAATGGGAAGGACACAAGGAAACTTCCTCTAGGGCCCCTGTGGTCACTCAGAGATCTTTCTGGGATGGGGCCCTGGACTCCCAGTGGCATAGGGGGTCCCAATCTCCGCTGGACGCTCCGTTTTAGAAAGGCACACCCAGGCGAGGAGGCAGGCCCAGGGCCACAGAGGGGACACCCCTGGAGGCCAGCCTCAGGGCACCAGAGGACAGAGCAGAAGAGAACAGGGAAGCAGAGGCTCCGCCCTAGGGGGAGGCCATGTGGACACCAGGCTTCTAGGGGATTTCCCACCACGTGGCCTGTTTACACAGGCAGAGTGGACGTGTGCCCAGCAGACCTGTGCAAATGCACCGGGCTGGAATCTGTACCCACCCTGGCACTGCCCCAGCTTCCACTGGCCAACTCACCTTCAAAGCGCCTCCGAGCAGGTTCCAGCCCTCTGACTGCGGGAAGGGTCTGGGGTCTCTTTCTGTGAGCTCAGCAGCAAAGCAGATGTTATTTCTGTGGAAATCAATTTTGCCTTTGGATAATCATCAACAGAAACCCTAACCTGGCCATGACCAAGGTCCAGATATCTGAGCCCCTTCTCCGGACAGGGCTAGCCTGGCCTGAGCCTTCCCTAGCAGGGTGAAGGCAGTGCTTCAGCTTTCTGGCCTCAGAAGAGACAGCAGAAGGCCTCAGAGAGGCCAAGCGACATCCCTACTAGTGTCACCCAGCCAGAGACCCCAGGGGCAGTCTCCCAGTCCCTGTCCGCACTGCCCTGTGAGCACCTGCACCTCGTGAACCACACGAAGAGGGAACCACTTTGCTTAAGTTGTATTTCCCCTGAAGAATCTTTAGTAACTTGGAAATGTTGTGTAAGACCAAGGGCTAGTTTACCAAGAACATACACAAACCAGTAAGAAAAAGATGATGAAACAGATGGGTCACAGTGGCCAATATATGGCTCACAGGAAAAGGCCAAAGGCCAGAGCCCCAAGCAGGTGATGGAAACTGGTGCAGGGCTCAGTGCCAGTGGGGGTGCCCCTGTCCACAGGTGCAGGAGTGTGAATCGTGCCGCCTTCTGCTGCTACCCTGGGGAAGGGTCCCACGCCTGTAGGGAAACCCGTGGCCCACTGTATTTCCCTGCAGGGCAGGACGTGCCCACAGGGCTCGTGGGGAAAAAACAGGAGATGGCACTTCCCTAAGGACAGTGTCCTTATTCTGGCAGGAAGATGACAGGGAACCATGGTGGAGAGGGACCATGCAGACCTGAAGCAGCCAGAACTTTCCACCTTGCTCCTTTCTTCACGGTGGGGATTTCCTATGACACACCTTGTTGCTTGGTTTACTACTATTTATCTGCTATAGTTTACTTATCTATAATGACTACTACTAATATTTGTGTGGTCAGATAATGGGCCATTTTGTTTACTCTCCATATTTAAAAAACAGTAAGTGTTAGAAATAAACACCCCAAATTAAAAGGGCTATTCTGCTGAAACAGCAAATTACCTGGCAGACCTTGGAGTCCCAAATTATAAATCCAAATCTGCATAATACTTGAATTGTGTAAGAATTTGGTTTTTGAATCTCTAATCTCTAGGTTCATCTGTTCATAAATTTGCAAGCAGTGTCCCCTAGGGCCAAGTGGGAGGCAGCAGAGGGGAGGAGGCCACAGCAGAGAGGGGCCCTGAAGCCCTCTTCCTTTGCCCGGCAGGAGGGACCTGCCCACTCCACTCTGCAGGATGGGCCCAGCTGGTGCGAGGAGGCACCAAGTGCCCACCTGTCCCACCTGCCAGCGGCTCTGCGGTCAACTTGACCCCATTGGCCAAGAGCCATGGGGGCTAGGGAAGTGCTCAAGGCCAAAGGCTCAAAGGCCAACTGGGTCCCAATGGCCAAGAGCCATGGAGGCTGGGGAAGCTCAAGGCCAAAGGCTCAAAGGCCAACTGGGTCCCAATGGCCAAGAGCCATGGAGGCTGGGGAAGCTGAAGACCAAAGGCTCAAAGGCCAACACGCCCAGGCCCCCATGCAGCACCTGGGGGCCGCAGCGCCTGGGGGCCACAGTGCCCACGGCCACCTCACAAGGCCCTCCAGTGCTGGGATTCCCTTGTGAGTGTGAGGTACTGACGCCCAGAGCAGGAGGACTGGCTGCCCCAGGCCACCAACAGAGCCCTGGCCCCTGTCCACCCCACCTCCCAACGGCCTCTCCCAGGCTAACCACCTCCGCTCCGACCCTCCCAGCCCACCCTCCTCTCTGCTTAGCCCAGCTGGTGCAGAAGGGGAGGCCCCGCCCACCAGGCCGGGAGGGAGGCGGGACCACATCCAAGTGACTTTGGGATCACGCCCACCCAGCCACGGAAGAGGGTGGGATCACGCTCACCTGACCATCCAAGGGCTGACCCTGCGCTGTCACTGGCCACTGCCCAGTTTCACAGGACGAAAGAGCAGATAAGTGAGGAAACAGAGGGCAGGTCCTGAAAAGCCGAGAATCAGGCCTCCCTTTAAAGAAAGTCAGGTAGAAACCCACCCACGCCACTCAGAGCTGCTCAGATGTTCCCAGCGCTGGGATTTTGCCCAGTCAGCCCTCCATGGGGAAAAGGAACAGCTCCTTTAGTTTGGGGTCCCAGGACTCGGGAGTGGGCATGCCAGCTCAGTGTCTGACTTGGGACCCCGTGATCCTATCACCCTACTTTGGCTGCGTGGTCTGGGGAGCGTCAAGAGTCCCCCTTACCTTACAGAGAGGCAACAAGAAACAGTTTTGAATGCCCCTGTGGTGGGGCGGGGGTGCAGGCCGGAGGACCGAGGGGAATCCTCTCTGCTTTTGTGTAGGTTTGAAATGTGCTTTTTTTTGTTTTGTTTTTTTGAGACAGGGTCTCACTCTGTTGCCCAGCCTGGAGTGCAGTGGCGTGATCACAGTTCACTACAGCCTCGACCTCCTGGGCTCAAGGGATCCTCCTGCCTCAGCCCCCACAAGTAGCTGGGATGACAGATGTGCACCACCCCCTACAACCGACTTTTTTTTTTTTTTTTGGTAGAGATGGGGTGGAGGTGGGTTCTCGATATTTTGCCCAGGCTGGTCTCCTGAGCTCAAGCGCTCCACCCCCTCTGCCTCCCAAACTGCTGGGATTACAGGCATGAGCCACTGTGCCCAGCTGGCTTTTTTTTTTTTTTAAGGAAAATAACAAGTGTTAGCAAGGATGTGATGAAATTGAAACCCTCTGGCATTGCTGGTGTGACTGCTGTGGAAAACAGTTTGGTAGTTCTTCAAAAAGTTAAACATGTGGTCAGACCTGGTGGCTCACGACTGTAATTCCAGCACTTTGGGAGGTTGGGACGGGAGGATTGCTTAATCCCAGGAGTTCCATACCAGTCTAGGCAACATGGCAAGACCCCATCTCTACAGAAAACTTAAAAATTAGCCAGGCATGGCGGTCCGTACCTGTAGTCCCAGATACTTGGGAGGCTGAAGCGGGAGGATCACATGAGCCCAGGAGGTTGAGGCTGCAGTGAGCTGTGATCCTACCACTGCACTCCAGCCTGGGCAACAGAGCAAGACCCCGTCTCAAAAAAAAAAAAAAAATTTAAACATGCTATGTACCCACAAATATTTAAAAATTCTTAAAAACCCACAAAAAATAAAAATAAAAAAAAGTTAAACACAGAACTACCATATGACCCAGCAAGACTGGTGTGGTGGCTTATACCTGTAATCCCAGCACTTTGGGAGGCTGAGGCGGGCAGATCACAAGGTCAGGATTTTGAGATAGCCCGGCCAATATGGTGAAACCCTGTCTCTACTAAAAATACAAAAATTAGCCAGGCGTGGTGGTGAGCACCTGTTAGTCCCAGCTGCTCAGGAGGCTGAGGCAGGAGAATAGCTTGAACCCAGGAGGTAGAGGTTGTAGGGAGCCGAGATTGCGCCACTGCACTCCAGCCTGGGTGACAGAGCGAGAAAAAAAAAAAAAAAAAAAAAAAAAAAGAACAAGACCATCCTAGCCAACATGGTGAAACCCTCTCTCTACTAAAAATACAAAAATTAGCTGGGCATGGTGGCGTGTGCCTGTAGTCCCAGTTACTCGGGAGGCTGAGGCAGGAGAATCACTTGAACCCGGGAGGCAGTTGCAGTGAGGTGAGATTGCACCACTGTACTCCAGCCTGGGCGGCAGAGTGAGACTCCATCTCAAAAAAAAAAAAAAAAAGATAGCTAGAAACTGACTTTGCTCCCTTTGCAAAGATCTGGGGTCCGTCAGTTTTGCTCATTCTGCTATCACCTCTGTCTGAAGAGTGACTGACACTTTGGTCTCTATTCACCCACATCTTCCTGCTCAGGAAAGTGTCTTTCTCCTCCTCCAGGGAGGAGAAAGACAGCTACCAGGGGTCACGGAGAGAAAGACTGGGCTGCACAGCAAGCTCAGGAGACCTCAGGTTGTGTCCTGAAACGGCTGTGCATCCTCTGTTCTCCATAGGGGGCCAACATGCGGCGGCAGCGATCCCCGGAAAAACCACTGGCCATTTGGGGCACAATGTCCTCGCTATTCCAGAACACAGAACCAATGCTAACAGCCCCCTGCACACTGAGAGTCACTGTGGCTTGGACATGCCTCATTCTGCCCTCACAGGGCTGGTGGCCCAGTTGGGGAGACAAGCGTAGAGCCACAGGCGTGATGACAAACAGGACACAGGTGACAGGAAGGCCAGTTCTCAGCGTTTACACACAGGGGCAGCCCTGCTCTGCACACAGGTCCCCCATGGAGGCTGCAGAGGGCCCTGCCTGAGACTTGCTCAACAGGGCTGGAAACCTCCCAGCAAAGGCCGGAACTGCTGCAAGCAGCCCTGCCCTTCGGGGCTGATCCGGTGTGATAAAGGGGGACCAGGATTCTGGCAGGGGATTTGATTGCGATCCAGTAATCCAGGGAGAGCCAGTACAGGTGCTTAAAGACAAGTCGGGCAGCACCAAGTAGGCCACACGCTTGGGCAGGGCCTGTGGACAGGCTGAGAGGACACCTGGAGGCCGGCCTGGGAGATCCCACAGGCTGCAGCCTGGCCCCATGCTCATCTGTGGACCCAGGGGCTGGCCACTCATCTCCATCCAGCCTCTGGGAATCTAAAGGAATGACCAGAAGTTTAATGGCCACAAAATACCCATCGAGCCAGGCATGGCGGCGTGCCTGTAGCTGCAGCTACTCAGGAGGCTGAAGTGGGAGGATTGTTTGGGACCAGGAGTTGGAGCCTGCAGTGAGCTGTGATTGCACCACGGCACTCCAGCCTGGGCAACAGAGACACTGTCTCTAAAACACCACCACCACCATCTACCAACACCACAATACAAATGCCATCAAATCCAGATGGGGCCTCGCCTCTCTCTGGCAGCACTCTGGGAGTGTCCCCCTCCTGCTACTGTCTCATACTCCCGAGTATAAGAATGTGTCATTTCTCCAACCTGCAGAGAGGACAGAGGAGGCAGAGGACTAACCTCTCGCCCCATGACACCTGAGAAGAGGTGAGACAGTGCACCTGCCCT